GACAAAGGGGGGAGACACAAGAGTGGACATCATGAGCACATGGACAGTACTTACACTTCAAAAAAAAATTGATTTCAAAGAGGAAGGGAGAGGGAGAGAGAGATAGAAATATCAGTGATGAGAGAGAATCACTGATCGGCAGCCTCCTGCATACCCCACGCTGGGGATCGAGCCCACAACCCTGGCATGTACCCTTGACCAGAATCGAACCTGGGACCCTTTAGTCCACAGGCCGATGCTCTACCCACTGAGCCAAACCAGCTAGGGCAACTTTGTTCTTTTTTTCAACATTGCATTATTTTATTCTTGGTCTATTGCATTTTCATGAGTTTTAGAATCAGCTTGGCAATATCTGTTAAAAAAAAAATAGGCAGCTGGGATTTTGTTAGGTGTTGCATTGAATCTGTAAATCCATTTGAGGAGTAGTTCCATCTGAACAATATTAAGTCTTTAGAGCCGTAAACGTGAGATGATTTTTCCATTTACTTAAGTCATTTTTATTTTTTTTCAATGATCTTCCATACCTTATGCTTTTTTTGTTAAATTTATTCTTATTTATTCTTTTTGTAATTATACTGTATTTGTAATTAGAATCTATTATATATGGATTTTCCCCTTACTGTTGTTTCAGATTGCACATTGCAAATATATAGGGATACAATGGATTTTTGTACACTGATCTTATCTCTCACAGCCTTAGCTGTACTTGTTTATTAACTCTTACAGGGTTTTTTGTGTGTGGATTTCCCACCCCACTTCCTAACTCCATCTTTGCAATTGCTGATTCTAGAGAACTTACAAAGTACTGTGGTTTAAAAGAAAAACTTTCTTCATTTTCCAGGAGTTGTGGCTGTAGGGTGTATCAATGACGCTATCGATGAAGGAGATCCTTTAAAGACACTAGAAACTCTGCAGTTACCTACAGTTAAGATTAGAGATGTGGACCCAGAGCATGCCCAGCACTACCAGGATGTTTTATACCACGCCAAATCACAGAAACTGAAGGTAAGTCTCAGTAAGTTCATTTCCTTCACATTTACAGACTAGATAAGGGAAAAGGTAGAAGGGAGGATTTTTTTTTTTTTAACCCATCTTTTCCTAAAGCTTATGAGGCTCTTGTTCCAGCAGTTGCCTATGAATCAGAATGGAAGTAATAGCGCTGTCATTTCCAGGCGTCAAACAAGCCAGCTCCGGAGCTGATGACTGCTTCCACTCTTTTCCTAAAAACTCAATTGTGAGAGAGCTTTTGTTCAGAGTCCAAGTTCTTGGATATTTTCTGAGCACATACTGTGTGCATAGTGCAATATGTAGCATCTGGTCCAGGAAAGGGGATCCAAGGAACACGTGACACCATTTGAATGTTCTGTGTCTTATCCTCAATGCTGAAAAATTGATTGAGGCAGTGCGCATTCTCTGATAGAATAGTTAAATAATAATAGAGATAGGCATGTGGCCAAGCGCCAAAATGAGGAGAGCACAGGGTGACTCAGAGGTGGTTGGGATTGTTGCGAATTAGAATCCTAAGAACAGTTGCAGTGGAGATAGAATAGAAGCTGTGCCTAAAAGGTAAGGAAGAGTTGGTTAGATGGGTGGAAAGCAGAATGATTTAGGGAGGAACCAGCATGCTTTGTTCTGGACATAGGACACTGACTGACCTGGCCAGAGTCTCCATAAAGAGCAGATGGTTTATCTGGCTGTGGAGCTGGTACTGATATTATAAGGAGTCAGACAGACACTGGCCACTATTAGAAGGGTACTGGGCTGATTGTTGAACCTGTCACCTGAGAGTGCGAGTGATCCTACCTGGGTGCTAGCCATTCATACCTTTCATGTCCCCATGTACTAGCCAGCCCAAAAGAGGTGAGCATCTCCTCTATATGAGACTTTGGAACCAGGAACTGCCTTATCTGAGATGGGAAATACATCCTTGTTTAGAGCAAACATTTATTCATCACCGGATATTTGCTGGGCACAATATTAGTATCTAATATTCTCACATAATCCTCATAACAGCTCTCTGAACTATCGTTATCATCATCTTATAGATAATGAAGCTATGACCAAGTTGTCCAATGTTACCCCCAAAAAGTAATTATTTCTGTAACTATGCCCCAGTCTGTGTGACTCAGAAACATATATTATGGCAGATAGAAAAGGATATTTATTGTAGCATTGTTTGTAATAGCAAAAGACAAAAAAAAAAAAAAAAAAAACCTAAAATGTCCATTAGGAGGGGCTGGTTAAATTGCAGAGTATCCATACAGTGAAATACATAGAAAAGAATGAAAGGTTCGGTATTGGACAATATTTAATATGTGTGCTAAGTGTTTGTATGCTTCCACATACACACAAGTGGCATATACACCCATATATGTGCATAGAATATTTCTGAAAGAAGACACCATCTGGAAGGTGAACCAGATAGAAAGTTTGATACTTCTTTTTCTTTCTTCTTATACTATTTGGACTTTTAAGTTTTTTGCAGAGTGCATGTATTACTTACTCAATGTTTCTAAACTTTCAAAATACAAGGTAAACAACTCACGAAGGGCCAATTCCCCCAGGAACTTAGTCTAGTTTCTAGAACAGGACTGCTCCAGTTCAGGTGTTCCCTTCAAAGTAACTAACTTTGTCTCAAAGGCTTAGAAACATTTTGGCATCATGTAGTCTCCAGCAGCATACAGAAGTGGTCGCCTCTGGAAGAGCACTGAGTGACTAGAGAAAAGGAGGAAATATTTCCTAATCTTTTAAACTCTGTACTGTGTATTACCTGTGCCAAATAAATCTACACTAATAAAAGAGAAAAATGGTAATTTGCATACGACGCTACCCTTTTCATTGGCTAATCAGGGCTATATGCAAATTAACTGCCAACAAGATGGTGGTTAATTTGCATATGTAGGCACAATGCAGGGAGGCAAAAGGGAAAGCAGGAAGAAGCCCCCTGCCACTGACAGTGATTGG